AGGGTGTGTGGGAGTGCCCAACGGGATCAGTCTTCTTCCTTTCGTTGTTCGGTGCGTGTTTCTTGTGGTCCTGTATAGGCATTTGCGTATATGCCCCACAGAAATCCAGTCTTCATGTGTGTGTCTCTCTCTTTCTCTCTCTACAAGAAGGACCCAAATTGCTCCCCACAAGTGAAATGAGAACAAACTGGGATGGTATGACCGTCATTGGCCTCACGGTCTTGCCCTGGTCGTGGTGGTGGTGGTGGTCACCAGGTGCTTCACACCAAGTAGTAAGGCCAGGAGCGCCCCGTTCGGTTCCGCGTCCGATCGCTCCGTTCGAGTCGTGATGCCCCTTGGCTACGTTCGTAGCGTCCGATCGCTGCTTCTGTCCCCGGTCGATTCTCAGGGATTCACGCTGTGCAAGACGCGAAGTGCCAGTGACAGGAAGAGTTCCTTCGTCGGACCATCTCCCAATCTTCGGTCGGACATGCCGGCGAGCACCCATGATCATAAGCCCTGGCCTTAAGCATAGGAACAAGAAGCTACTAGGGGCTCCTGGCTTACTACTAGGAACAAGAATTCTACTAGTAACAAGAAGCTATTAGGAGCACACACACTGTTGAAAGAAGTGATCCACGCAGCTCCTCAGTTTGTGCCTTAATAGAGCAGACTATATAGACGACTATTTCAACCCAATCCAAACCAACCATATGCCATTTAACAGTCTTAAACCAACCAAATACTGGGGTCCAAGTCCCCACCAAAAGAAACGGACTCCTTCACGGACAACCTGGTTGTCATCGCGTTCACCATTGGTCACCTGGTTGTCAGAGATTACTCTTGTATTTGTTTTTATAATTAACTCTATAGCTTCTTATTGTTTCTACTAGCAAACATTGTTACTACTAGTAAGGCACTTGTTACGAACGTAGCGATGCACTTGTTCCTAGTAGATCTCATTGGCAAGATGCCCATGGGCACCACCAGCACCAGCCGCAGCAGCCAATGCCGATCCTTCAACGGCAGCAGTCGCGAGCGCGTGGTGGGCAGCTCGCAGTGATAGGCCGCGTAGGTGCAGAAGAGCCCGGAGAAGAGGAACGGGACCAACAAGGAGAAGAGGAAGAGCAAATCTCGGGTGAAGAAGAACCTTAGATTTTGTTTGGCTTGGGTCACGGTCGGTCGTTTTGTGATTCTTGTCGTGAATTCGACTGGAGTCTTTTAGGATCGAGCTCTGTTTTTCTGCTTGTCTTGGGGTAAGTTTGGTCTCAGGTCTTTGAAGTCGACAAGAGTGTGGAGATGAATCCGGATCTATTTATCTCTGGAATCATCTCGTGTGGAAAAAGAAATACCTTGGAAAGACAAGCCCAGGCGTCAATCTTGCGCAGTCTTGAGTTCAGAATTCACCACAAATAGCCCGTGAGTCCGCGGGAAAGAAACTCCTCCCAACAACACCGGGGCGCAGGAAGGCGCTACTCACCACCAAAAATACCAAGTGGTGAAGGCGCTACTGACTGGCTCGGTTTCGGAGACGTGGTCAGAACGGGAGACCCTCCGGATCGAGGGTCACGCGAGTCAGTGAGTGCCTCGAACATTTTCAGCAGTCACCTTACAGTCCGAAAACAGATTAAGACATCTTCCCCATGCCAGGGGATTTACTCTACAAAGGCCAGAAAATAGGACCTGATCCGCCAAACCACCGTGACGCTACGGAAACGCCGGCGACGGCTACGGCACACCACCATGTGCGGCTGAGGCACACCACCATGGCAGCAATCTCCGCGCCAAAGGCCACCAGGTGGAGGCAAAGGAAGAACAACTGGTTCAGCGATGGAGATGCAGGTGAGATGAAATTGGCTTTGCAAAGAAAGAACATGGCATAGATTTCGGGTACGCTCCGTTTCAGAATGGCATTTGACTAGAGATGTGGCTCAGGAATTCATTTGAAATCGTGGAGAACTCGTCGTTTCCAAAGACATCCGATCTACAAGCTTCACCGGGATCGAAGGGGTGACTTGACTGCCCTCCAACTAAATGCGTCGCTTTGAACCACAACAGCACCCTACAGCATACGTCTAATATGTGCGTTGCTTCTTGACACCAGACTTATCCAGACTTCCTATAACCACAGATTCACACAAACATCACATAATGTCTAATGTATCATAATATCACCTATCAAGTTTTCCATTCCCACTTTTGCTTTGCACAGGTGGAGGTCCATTTTCAAACAAAACACCTTCAATTCTTCCCCAAATCTTGGAACCAAAACGAGCAGTGCTTCTCGCTTCTCTCGAGCGCTCGGGGCCCCGCGCCAGGCGCTGCTTGGTGAAGGGATCCTCCAAGCGCTGCCGCATCACCCGCGCCGAGGGCGCTACCGCTGCAGCTGCCGAGGGCGCCGCCATGGTCGGCTCTGCACGAGGCGGTTGCAGCTCGGCCATGGGAGGGGTCAAACCCTGGAACTGCTGCAAGTGAAAGTGATGAGGAAGTGACGAGGAAGTGAAGGGGGTGGGTGGGATTGCGGTTGGGTGGGCTTGGGTGGGTTTGGTGGGCTTGTTCCCCCGAGAAACGCAATGAGAGGGGGTGGTGGGTGTGATTGAAGACATCGGAACAGGAAAGGTGGGGTTCAAATAAGTGGCGCATAGTGCCGCTTCTATGCGGGAAGTCTATGGATCATCAGTCAATCGTAAAGGCCACTAGTCACCAGAGCCATCAGCTCCACTTCGCATGAGGAAAGTGTGTTGAAACTGGATGGTGAAGGCTCAGTCAACGTGGCTAAAGTCTTTGGTCTCCATGCCAATAGCTTCAACGTTCAAGATCGATAACCTGACGACGCTGTGGCGACTCGGCTGTCTTATCAAACACAAACCTTCAGGAACGCCATAGGGATGGCCTCCACCCTAGTAGCGATGGCCTCCCTAATATCAAACACACTACTCTAAGGCACCACGACGCATGGCTTTGGAACCTCCCACTGGTCTTCTGTCCATCGAACTGACTGGAGGGTCTCTTTTCCACCAACCCGGCCAACTACCAGGCAGGGGATGGCCCCCCTGAGCGCGTTCGCGCAACGTTCGAGCCCAAACATGCCGGGTGGCGACAAAACACGGTTTCAACGAAGTGATGTGAACCAGTGGAAGACTGGTCTTTTCTGGGTTTCCCCCGTGACTTGCCATGCGAAGAAGGGAGGTTTCTTTTGAAGAATATAAGTACGTGGAATATTTGTTTTCATTGCTAACATCTCCATGGATATCATCCCGAGCTGTGCCCCATTGCTGGCAATTGAGGGCTGAGCATTGGCTTGCGGGCATTTCTGATTTTGAGCTGGTTTGGAAGTAAGGGACCTTTGCAAACATGCCACGATTCACTCGGCCTACTCAGTTGCTTTACCATGCCTCTGAACCAGGATTCTGTGAGTTACATTATAGCCCTTGTCTTTTCTTGAGTCAGACTCCCATTCTGACTAAACGTTATGAGACATACACACCAGTTTCCCAAATGTGGCAGTGGCAAGCTTCAGGAGACTCATCGTGTGCATCCATGTAGAAAACGATGTGTCTTCTTTGCCTGGCTTGAATTTGCTTAGGACTTCTGTTCACTTTCCTTACCACCTCATGAACAGCCAAAACAGGAACACCTCCCGTTGGCAACTCCGTGTCAGTCACCACCACCACGTACGGCCGTACCGCTGTCGTCCAAGGAGCTGTGCGGCCGTACCGCGGCGACCTTCCCAGCGGTGGGAGCCCACCACGTACCTGGAAACCATCGCCGACGAGGTCCGGAGGCCTTCGGAGCCGAAGGCGTTAGAAGCGAACGTGGCAAGAGGACGGGAAGCGAACGGAAGAGCCAGGGGCATTACTAGTAGGTAGGTAGAAGCTATACCCACACACGGGGCGGGTCCGTACCCCCCGTCCAAACCCCGGAAGTGACGAACTAGTCGATCACCGCGACCGAGATGAAAGCGGAAAAGGAGATCGACGTGTCCTCATGCAACGTTCTCCTAATCCCACCAATCCAAACCCTTGAGCGATTGACTTGCTTTGTGTGGAGAGCATGGTTGTGGGTCGAAGCACGCAACGTTCCCGAGCGTCTGACTGGGTAGGTATGAGGTTTGTTTTGAGGTGGCAGATGGGTTTGTAACATGGAAACCTTGGCCCACTCGGTAGACGCTGGAATCTTTTCCTTCTTCTAAGGGGCTGGGCGTCTCCCTATTTGGGCCACATACCCACATGGATTGTTGGACTTCAAGAAGCTCCGGGTGGGGTCGACCTGGATGGATCGAGAAAACACCGCTCTGCCCGGACGAGCGGACGGAATCCTCTCGCTGCAGGCTTCGGCAGCTTGGATGACTGGAAAACAACAGTTTTTACATGGCTTTGCTCTCAAGCTGAAGCAAAGGTAAGCCTTCCGTGCATGTGTCTAGCAGATTTCCATACATTGGGGGTGCTTGAAAAGGAGAGAATGGGGCGGCATATATCTTCCAGTCCTATCGATCTTGGCCCACCACTCCTCTTTTCTCGAGTCGGAGGGTCACGTTCTACATAAGGGGTCTTGACTCATTCCAGTTCACACAACGAACCCCTGCTCCAAACACAGGCTGCTTGCGTTTTGTGTGTTTGTGCGATCAAACAGACCAGAAGCACTCTGTCATTCAAGTTCTTGAGACAAATGGCTGCTGGGAATCCACCCAACGGTCCATGAATTTCCAGATGAAACCACTACATCCACACGGGTTCCTGGTTGCTTTTTTCCCGGCCTCCGGTCACCCCTTTCCCATCGGTCACTCGAGGGGTCCCAGCTCCGGTGTCATGGCATCCAACGCGATCCAAATCCTTGGGGCGATGGAGCCAGCAAGCGCCCCAAAACCGCTGCCCGACCCAAAGGTGACGTGCTAGATGCCAAGTACATCCCACTACGTGAAGGCGGCAGGAAAGGCAGCCGTGTAGAGGGTACCAGCCACAGGCGCAGGCTGGACTGCAAGGTCTGTCTGGTAAATCCACAGCCCCAGCCTCAGCCTAAAGTTACTGCTCCCGCTGTCCAACTTGCTCAGTGGTTTCAGCTGCTGCATCCCTCTCCTCATACTCCTTCAGCTGTTCCTGGTACATGACCAGGTCACTTTCCATCATGCTGTACTCCAGCATTTTGTCGCGCAGGGAAGTGCAGGCTGTTCTCCATACCAGGAAAGTACATGGACACTAGAAATCCTTTAAATCAGTGCAGCACCAGATGGCGAGGACCCACTGTTTCATGTTGGAGTAACCTGCTGGATCCTCCGCAATGAAGCTCGCCATGCCAACCCCCTCGGTTGGTCCGTCTCCCTGTCCTGGCTTGTAGCGGGCGGCCTCCTTCCAAGCGTCATAGAGTGGCTGCGCCCGGCATATCTCCCGGCAGATCTCTCGCTTGACCTCGAAGAATACCTTGAACTCTTCCAACAAATGGCAAGCTAAACGCAAGGTGGTCGATAAGTAAAAAGTACTAGCTTGACGCCGTTGCTGGTCCAATCGTTTGTGTCTACACACCCGGACCTCTTCAGTCATGTCAGCCCAGGACTCGTTGCTGCTTCGCAGCTGCAGCCCTTCAAGTTCCTTAGCGCGAAAGGGCATCTTTCAATGGGTGTCCCAACTCGACTTTAACAGCCTTTAGAGTCTCACACATGCAGCCAGTCAGGAAGTTCCCAACTCTTCACTCTTCAACTTGCAAGACATCTTGAGATTGATCCAACGGAAGCGCGCAAGTGATACTGCAGCAAATGAATTGCGCTAGTCTCTTTGGCTGCAGCCATCAGCGCAAGCCACAACCAGTTGTCAATTGCTTGCCAGGTGGTTGAAAGAAGCAGTTGAACTTAAAGCGCTCAGCCTCTCTTGGTCGCAACTGCTCTCAGCAATGACACCCAGCTGACCATGGCACACTTGCTTGATATCCATCAAGCAAATGCGGAATATCGGCGCCAACAACTGGGCTTCAAACTTCAACCATGCCCGACGTGGTCCTAGACGGCTCGCAAAGCCTAAAGCACCAGCCAGAATATTTGGATTCAACCAGCCAGTAATGTGGTCAAATGCTTGTAGTTAGGGGGTGCTTGTGGCATCGATGCTGCACTAGACCGAGCAACTAAGAGACTCCTGAAGCAAAATGGATCGACCTGGGTGGAACGACTGGGGCGTTTCAGTGACTAAACATGTCAGCAACGGCGCTTCAGCAAGCGAGGTGTACGTTTCGGCTGGTGCAACTAGTCGTCCTAGCTCAGCAAGCGACTCACTTTCTACATACCGATGGCGCATTTGATGTTTTCGCTGCTGTTCCAATGCCATTCATGCCCAATATGGAAGACATGAAGACCGTCACCGACCGGTCGGTCTAAGCGGGTCCCCGTCCGCGTGATCGGCCAAAGGCGCGTGATGACGTGATCGGGCTCGAAGTCGAAGTAGGGCGAGTCACGGTGGAAGACCAGCCTTGGGAAGGTGAGAGAAGAGAGAGATGCCCAGGCCTAGGCTTCAATAGTGTTGTGGAAGACCCTAGTAGCGATTCGCGATGGCCTCCGAAGGTGAGAGAGAGAGAGAGATGCTCTCCTTGACTCCGACTGGCTTCAATAGGTCTAGGTCTTGTGGAAGATGATCCGCCTCCTTCTACTCGCCCCCCCGACCCCTCTCGGGGGTCCACACACCTTTCACACCCGTGCCCGGGCGGGCCCCCCGGCGGGCCAGCGCCCGGCGGCTTGATCCACACCTGTGCCGAAGAGCCGGAGCTTCAACGAAAGAGGCCTAGAGACCTTCGGGGCGAGGGTGATTTCTCCAAACCGAAAGGGGTGGGTGGCATCCAAAAGGACCAACCTGCTTATCAGTAGGTGTGCTGCAGCACCCAAACTCCACGAAACCCCACATGTTGCTACCGGCCCCTGCCTGGTCTTCGGCCACCCGCGCGCCGGACCAGCCGCCCAACGTGGCCGCCAAGCGCCCCAGCACCGGGGAGAGCACCACCCGCTGGAACCTGGGCTGCGCATCGCGACGCCCAGTCCGTACCAGCCGGGCCAGGCGAACCGAACGGGGCGAAACTGGCACGACTGGCAAGAAGCTACGAACGGAACAATGCAATGTGTGTAGTACTATGCAAATGCAGGTGGCAACATGCCAGTACTACCAACCAGCGCAAAAAAATCGATGGCCAATGGAAGACTAGGGAGGTGCAAAGACGATCCAAATGCTGGGAGCGCTAGAGGGCAACCAAGAACGAAGGGCATTGCGTGCAAAATGCTAAATGGCAAAAAAAACAAACATTGGACATTGACACTGGCTGGGCCAAATGCTTGAGTCAGCCACTGGTTTCAACTGCTTCAGAAAATCACTGCGGCTTGTGATGTTCACCTACCGCCATGGGCTCCGAAGGGGGCCGAAGGGTTCCCGCGAACTTCCGCACCACCGGAGCCAGGGGAGTTGGTTCCACACCGGTGCGCCGGATAGGCGCTACGGATCGATCGGGCGTGGGGTGGCCGTTCACGGGCCCAGGGGCAGAAATGGAACAAAGCCAAAGATGTTCGATGATTCTTTCCGTTTTCAATCAGCTCCCATCTTCTACATCTCAAAGTATGGAAAGTATGGGCTCTGAAATGCGATGTTTTTGCCTCATCTTTCCATCATCTGATATGATCTCCGTTTCTAGGATATGACCTCAAGACATTTGGATGAACAGTAACGAGCAGCCAATGAGCACCCGATCAAACACAAGCAATGGAATCGAACACGGTGCCCTTCGCCTCGAAGGAACTTCGGCTTTGGCATGAAAACCATGTCCACACCGCCGAGAACACGAGAAGACTCCGCGGCGCCACTCGTCACCAAAGGACAAGGCGTCCGCCTTCCAGGCATCGACGATCCTGTCGGCCGGGGCCCAAAAGCTCTGCACCGGTGAGATGGACGGTGCCGTGGAGATTCCCAACATTTGACCTTTACCGAACAACCAGCTGTTTCACTAAGGGGCTTACACTACAAAACCAGATGAACCTTATTGAACCTTTTTCAACATGGTCTTTGACTTCCAGGGTTGATTCAAGAAAACCCAAGCCCGAAGAAACACCCGAAAACTATGGGAAGTACACCAGAACCTTGATGTGGGATGAGGAAATCCAGTCGCTGAGACGCATAGCTCGAATCCACTCTCTTTTTGACTTCTCGTTGGCTTCGCCGCCTTCACCCGCTCCTTCTTCTGCTTCTTCCTCCAAACCACGGCCTTCTTGTGAGACGCTTCGAGTTCGGCCTCGCTGTGGTCCTTCGGCTTCACACGAAAATGCTGATTTGTTCCGTTGATTTGGCACTGGGCACGCCACTGCTGCCTAGCCTGGTCCCATGTCACCCCGGGGTAGGGCACCTTCGCCTCGAAGATCGGCAGCTCCGAGAAGCGACCCACGGCCGTCACCTTGCGCTCCAAGCCGTGGAGCTTCGCGAGTTCCAAGGCCTTGGACTCGGCGGCGGCCTTGTCGGTGAAGCGGCCGCCATGAATCCGCTTCTTCCCTTTTGGATTGAGCAGCACTTGCCACTTTTTTCTCGCTTTCGCCCAGCACACCCCCGGCACCTCGCTGGTGAAGTTGGGGTCCACAGGCTTCGGCTCCTTGAGGACGCCCTGTTTCACCAGCTCGGCTCGGAAGGCCTTGGCCGCCTCCAGCGCCGCCGCGTCGGCTTCGGTCTCGGTGACGCCCTCCTTCATGAACTTGCTGAGGGAGAACTGCCGGTTTGTACGGCCTCTCGTCTTACCCTTCTTGTCAAAGAGTGGGAAATTGACCTCCCATGCCCAGCAGCCCTTGTTCCACTTCACAGCTGAAACCCCACTCTGCTTCCCCGAGTTGTCCCTCCGGAAGAGCGTGGGTTTCGCTGATGTCGCGGGAGTCTCAGGAGCTTGAGGGACAGAATCTTGAAGCGCCTTGACACCCTCCGCAAATCGGGGCAATGGAATCTGATTTGGCACCGGTGCGGCTTCCTTCATCGTGTCTTCGATTGGCTTCACCTGTTCTGGTGCTTGTTCCACGGCAAACATCAAACCTTCGACTCCCTCAGCAAAGCTGCTTGCTTCGCCGTCGCCTTGCTCCCTCCTGATCTTCGAGACTTGCAGCTCATCAGCCTCGTCCATCTTGACGAAAGCCTCAATCAAAGTCTGGGCTGCTTGCTTTCTTTGTGTTTCCCATCGAGCCAGGCGGCGACGCTTGGCAGTGGGAGGGATTGCTGGCTCTACTGCATCGGTGTTCGTCACAACCTCTTCAACCTCCTGTTTGACCTCCTGCCCAACGATGGTAGCTGCATCCTGCAGCATCTCTTCCTTCATCTTTTGGAGCTCCTTGTCAGTTGCACTTGAGAAGTCCTCCGACATGGACTCACCTTCTCCTACCTCCTCTTTGGCTTCCTGCTTGACCTCGTGTCCAGCAATCACCGAAAACAGCAAAAAGCAGGTTAAAGCAGCTTCCTTTCAAGGTCTCCAATAGACTACCCTACACTACTTGTGGATCTCTACCGAGCACGCCGACGCTTGAGGGGGTGCAGGTGTGTAACTTCTTCCATACATGGATGGACTGAGTATAGACAGTTGGCAAATGGCAAAAGAAGTTGATAGATCTGAGCCTCCAGTCGTGCCGTATCGTTTCGGTTCGGTGGGACGACCGGGGCCCGGGTGCCAGGAGGGTCCAGAAATACCGAACCTGAGGAGGTACGACGAAGTCGGTGTAGGGGTAGATCTGAGCCTTCACAGGAAATTCCACACCTTCCTTCGTGCGTGGCCGCTGAGCGATAGCGGCGGAAACCGATCGCCGGGCCACATTGCGGCACGTGGATGGGCAAGGACCGCGAGCCAAACCTGGGACGTTGGCTGGTTCCGGCATAAAAAGAAAAACACATCAGAATCAGTGATATACTCTCCCATGGCCCACCAGCGAAACTTTTCCCAAATACCTCGACACCATGTGATACCCGACGTTGCTGAAGAAACTGGACCAAACAACGTCCAGCGCGGGACATTCAACGACCAGGACACTCATGGCCACAAAGGTAGCACATGGGGCTTGCTGCCCGACATGGCGGAAGCGCAGAAAATGGAATCTCCGCAGTTCCAGTCAGGGAAATGAGCCCTGCAACATTAACATAGAACCTGAAAACCACTCGGTTGTAGAGGAAAATAGTCTTCCAAAGCGTCCAAAGGTCAATTTTCAGGTTCCTCTCTCTCCTCACTGCCAGGTCTCTCTTTTGGGAAAGGCCCCGTTGGAGGTCTCAATTGGTGACCTGGCAGGGAGGGTGGGTAGTGCTGGTATGTATACATATATACATTATAGTTCAGCTCTCTTCGCCGTGAGAAATCTCTTCTGCCGCTTGGGATGTCTATCATAGATGGGCTTTTGCAAGCATTCTGCAGGTTGCCAGTCTGAAACCAAGACGCTGACCACATCAAATCGAGCAAGCATCTGTGCAGTCTTCCACCCTACATCCAATGATATCAGCATGGCCTCCTTGGAGTTCTCCTACAGCTTGCTGCATCCGGAAAAAAAGAGCCCTCTGGAACAATCAACTGGGCTCCCACCCATGGCTTGAATCGTAGATGTCTATGTGTCATGACACGTCTCTGTCTCAAGTTCAGAGTCGAACGGTGCTTGAGAGAGCGCAAGCAGAGCGGCCGATCTTGGTGACCTCATTCTGCCAACCCGCCCGCCTGCCTTTGAGATCGGGCATGTCCACCCATGTCCCATGCGCGTGTCGGACTAGCCATTTTCATCCCAAAGCTCGGAACCAACTCACCCAAATGGATTGAACCAACTCGCTGTCACGGGGGCAGCGTACCCAAACATGTTTACAGTAGCATTATCCATTCAGTCGTGGAGATGAACAGGTCGCGTAGGGTAAAACAGGCAGTACCAGTTCCAAAGAACTTCCAAAGGGTCCAGAGCCATCCTGAGGATGTCCTGGATGCCCCAAAGACCATTCTCAGGAAGTACTTTGAGCTAGAAGACCATCCTCAGCAGCTATTTGGAGTCTATTGGACTACTACCTGTAGCTGGATGAATGAGGCCCTGGAAGACTTGAAGGAAGGAGACAGGATTCTTTGGCAGAATCTTTCGCCTCCAGTTAAGGCCAGCAACCCCTTTTCTGATGTATGTCAAGCATGCCGTTTCGGCAACCCAAAAATCATTCCCCTGTGAAGCTTTGGGATGGTTACACGTAATTATAAATCATGATGTTTAATGATGTTTATATATTCTCCAAATTGAAGGGACCTGGGTGTGATTCTATACCAACAGAGGTTACTGAAGAAACCGACTGTTCGACTATCCGAGTCAGTCCTGCCCTTTTGCGCGAGCAACATCCCAAAAAGCAGTCCCACAGAAACAAAGCCGGACCCCAAGAACAACAGCTTCAATACAGCTGGAGACACACACACACACACCAGTCGGCTCATCCCCACCACCACCAACCACTGGTCCGTCCGGAGTTCAGTATCTATCGATCCTTGGATAAGGAAACCGGCCCTTTGAACACCAAGAAAGGCTAAAATCAAAGACCATGTAAAGATGAAAGTATACCAGTAGCATGTACCCATTGCTAGTAGGTTCGAGGCCATCTTCCGTACAGTAGCATGTACCCATTGTTTCCGCATTCCCTCCAAAGCATTCCCCATTTGCCTCAAGGTGTTGACCTTGCTGCCGCCGGAGCCATAGCGCCGCAGCTCCTTGGCGCCCGGCACCTTCGACGGCGCCACGCCCAAATCGTAGTCCTCCGGCGCAACGGGAAGGACATGGCGGCACGGGTTCGCACTGGCTTGGGGGTTTCGAATTCGGGCGCGCCAAGGGAAGTCAGGTTTGGTTTGTACTACATGGTTGGCCGGTGTGTTGTGCCCGGGATGGGAGGCCCTAGCATAGGGGCATCTTTAGGAAGGGTGTATACCGTGGAACTTTCCGAAGTGTTGATTTGTGGAGGCCCACACAAAAGCATTCTCCCCCAACAAGCAGGTGTTCATCTATACTTCTTCCCGCCATTCCTGGTTCTCAAAGGAGCCTGCCAAAATACGCGAGACACTCTGTCTGGAGTGTCTATACCTCTCCGTCCCTCCCTCTGTTGCCCGTCAAGGCGCCCCCTTCAGCAGGTGTTCGAGCCGCACGTTCAGAGCCTCGCACACCTTTGGTGCGATCAACTCCTGCCGGACCGTGATCAGAAATGAACATGAAGAGCAAGTACCAAAGAACTCATGCAGCGTTCTTCAAAGCATCTGAACATCTGAACATCTTTCTTTGGAGGCTTCTTTTTTCATGTTCCATCTGGTCTTCCACTCGATCTATGTCCGAGCGCGCGTCGCTTGTCGATTCCGACGCCGCGCCGGGAGGATGGTGAAGCCCTTCTCGCTGAAGGTCTCTGGATCGACGTCGGGGCATTCGACGTCCGGCTCCATGGCTCTTGGACGTCTGGGCGTCGGACATGGAAAGCGGCGCTCAGATCACGTCGTTTGTAGAAGATGGTCTCTGATGTGACTGGCCCAGGAAATTCCTTCATGTTGAGCAGCTGGAGTGTGCTCTCGGCCTTGCTGACAGTCTAGTTCTGATATGGAGTGATACTTTCTGAACTCAATACTTGCAGTACATCTTTCCCTTTTTTCTTTGGGCAAGATTGGGTCTAGATATTTCTTGATCAAACAAAGACTGTCATCTTGTGTCTCCCCTGGTATTGGTCACTTCTCTAATCGAAATGACGTGTTGCAGGTTGCACCTGCGAAATCAGCTGCAGAACATGCGCCACACGCGGAGGACCGTCAACCGTCCCGGTTGCCTTTCATCTAACGTGATTCAGGCGGATACCTGATTCTTTCCGCCACGCTGATTCTTTCCCTCACAAAAGGGCAAGAACTGCACACCGCCCAAAAAAGGACCGCCACTGGAAACGACCCGACACCGACTCCACCAACGAACCGGCTCCCAGGTTCAATCGGACCACCCGGCGTTTTCAGCATCTCTTCGCTACCATCGTCCGGAGACCGCAGCTTGGGCAGCACCACACCTGGGCGCAAAACGGTGACCACATCAGTCAAGTAGTCAAGGATGGGGAAATACTGAGGATAAAACAAAATACCAAAAACAACAAATTACCGAATCAAACATCCTTAAGAGTTCAACAAGTCTTTCTTGAATTCCATGATGTACGTTACCAGTAGCAGTGGATGATGGTTAGGTAGTAGAGGCCTTTCTCTAGAATAGTGATTTGCTTGTTTACTGACGGCTCTACAGGTGAGTTCGGACAAACCCAATATATATATATATATATAGACACCCCTGTAATTCCTTTGTTCCGGTCAACTCAGTCCGCTTAAACGATGACACAGGTCACAGGCTTGGACGGAGGATGAGAGATGAACCACGAGTTCGTCGAAGTGCACACAGAGGACATGACTGCATCCGAAGCTGAGACGACACCCTTCACACTCAAGGAATGAAGGTATACGGGTATACCCTGTGAGTCAAAGACTATCAAGAACATGGTCTTTAGGTGCCCTGATATGAATTGTCCTTTTGGTCTTTGTACTTCTACCAGTCGGGTTGAAATGGGGCATGTATTGAAATAGGCTAAATCCCCTAAATCCCCTCAGGAGACTCCCCAGGTCTGTGGAAATTCCCAACAGACCTGCAATACCGAACAACCATTGTTTCATTGAGGGTCTGAACCTCTACAAAACCAGATGAAGCTTTTTTAAAATGGTCTTTGACTTCCAGGGTTGATTCAAGAAAACCCAAGCCCGAAGAAACACCCGAAAACTATGGGAAGTACACCAGAACCTTGATGTGGGATGGGGAAATCCAGTCGCTGAGACGCTCTTTTTGACTATTTCTTTGAACTCGTTGGCTTCGCCGCCTTCACCCGCTCCTTCTTCTGCTTCTTCTTCCAAACCACGGCCTTCTTGTGAGACGCTTCGAGCTCGGCCTCGCTGTGGTCCTTCGGCTTCACATGAAAATGCTGATTTTTTCCGTTGATTCGGCACTGGGCACGCCACTTCTGACTCCTCCGCTCCCAGGTCACCCCGGGGTAGGGCACCTTCGCCTCGAAGATCGGCAGCTCCGAGAAGCGACCCACGGCCGTCACCTTGCGCTCCAAGCCATGGAGCTTCGCGAGCTCCAAGGCCTTGGACTCGGCGGCAGCCTTGTCGGTGAAGTAGCCGCCATGAATTTTCTTCTTTGGCCCCTTCCTGGCGTTCTTGGGGGCGAGCTGCACAAGCCATTTTTTTCCTGGCTTATGCCACCTCACCCCCGGCACCTCGCTGGTGAAGTTGGGGTCCACGGGCTTCGGCTCCTTGAGGATGCCCTGTTTCACCAGCTCGGCTCGGAAGGCCTTGGCCGCCTCCAGCGCGGCCGTGTCGGCTTCGGCCTCGGTGAGGCCCTTCTTCATGAACTTGCTGAGGGAGAACGTCCGTGCTCCCTGCTTCTTACCCTTCTTGTCAAAGAGTGGGAAATTGACTGCCCACACCCAGCAGCCCTTGTTCCACGTCACATTTGGAACCCCACTCTGCTTTCCCGAGTTGTGTCTCCGGAAGCGCACGGGTTTCGCTGATGTCGCGGGAGCCTCGGGAGCTTGAGGGACAGAATCTTGAAGCGCCTTGACACCCTTCCCAAATTGGGGGAATGGAATCTGATTTGGCACCGGCGCGGCTTCGTCCATCTTGACGAAAGCCTCAATCAAAGTCTGGGCTGCTAGCTTTCTTTGTGTTTCCCATCGAGCTTGGCGGCGACGCTTGGCAGTGGGAGGGATTGCTGGCTCTACTGCATCGGTGTTCGTGGCAACCTCTTCAACCTCCTCTTTGACCTCCTGCCCAACGATGGTAGCTGCATCCTGCAGCATCTCTTCCTTCATCTCTTGGAGCTCCTTGTCAGTTACACTTGAGAAGTCCTCCCACATGGACTCACCTTCTCCTACCTCCTCTTTGGCTTCCTGCTTGACCTTGTGTCCAACAATCATAGTGCTAACACCCGAGGTACCGATTTGATCTGGCTACTTGCCGGCCTAATCTTCTGAAATGCTCGGGCCACAAACTCATCAGCACAAAGCACACATGACGTGAGCTTTAAAGATTCAAATTTGCTCATGCTGGCCGTTGCCGATGGTCCATCTCTATCTCAAAATGAAACCACTACTTCCACCTGCTTGCTTTCCACTCTCCTTTTGCATCTGTCTCCCCTTTTCCGGGCCTCTTGTCACCCCTCCAACCGCAGCTCCATGGCCAACGCGAACCCTCCGCGACGCAGCCGGACGGAAGTGGTCTTCGATTTGGGGCGATGACATCGTTCACCTTGATGGGCTGGAGTTCGTGTTAGATGGTATGGGATTTGGGGGGAGGAGAAAGCGTTCAAGAGCATGGGTGACGGTCCAGTGTTTGCAGATAGGTCTGAAGCTTTCATGCCTCAACACTTGGTCCTCTTTTTTTGGTGGGCATCTTTGGTTGGTTATTGCTTGTCATTGAGAACTTGTTCTGTAGCTCATTCGACCAAGTCGACCAGTTCTCGTTCTTTGGTCGCGCGGCCCGACTCCGTGGACCGCGGAACGGACCGCACACGTGGACCGTGGACCTCGATCCGGCGGAAACTCGGTCCGAGCGATTCGGGGGTCGGACGTCGGATGGTTCCGCCATGTGACGAGTTCCCTGTCACCCGTCGGAAGTCCAGTTCGACGATAGGACCAGGAAGTTCCCGTACTCAGGTCCCCGTTCTTCAGACCATTCTTTTTATAGTCGACTTGACTCCCAGGGTTCACTTCTTTCTTCTCTTTCTGTAGTGAGCCATGTAGTGACCTCAACTGGTACGGTGGACGGTCTTGATCCTGATTTACTTACCAATGAGGCTTTGGCCTGAGATCTCTCAGGCGACACCCACGAAAAAAAGATCGGAAGACAGCCCTTCCTGTCCGGACTACTCCATCGATTTGCTCCCTCTCCTGCTATAGGCAGCGTCCTTTTTCCTTCGCCCGACGCGGAGAAACCGTGACGAGTTCCGTCGACCCGTCAGTTGCGGCCTCTCAGCAGCGGACCGGCTTGGCCTTGACCTTGCGCGCCGGCCTGGGCGGGGTGGAAGAGTGGCGCTGGTCGTCAGAACGAGCCCCTGGAGATCAGCTGAACTGGTGGAGATTGGGTTTTGAAGGACCTCACGTAGACACCCCTTGTCTCCTATCGCAGCCTCCATAGATTTCGTCAGAGCTCAAGTTTGCTGTTGACTTCTGTTGGAGCAAGCATAAAAGGCTCACGGAGACTTGAAAGGATTAAGTCATGCGTATTTGTGAGGCAAAACGGTGGGCCTGACCCTGTCTACAGGAAGACTCCCCCAAAATACAAAAGTCCTTCCACCCCAGGTGGGCGACCGCTGGCGATCAGTCCCATGACCAGAATCAAAGACTTCCCTACGAGATTCTACGAGTCGCAGCAGCCGATGAGAAATCAACGCCCAGTTAAATCCTCAACCATTCAATATCGATCTTTTTTTGATTCTGTTTCATCTACCATCGTCTCATGTCCATATATTCCTCGCAACCACTTCCTTCGTCGGAGCCTCTGCGCAGGTGCCGGCGCCGGAGACTCTGCCTGGGCCCGGTCTCCGAACAGGGCGAAGGTCGGCGCCTGTCGCCGGTCGTCGCCGGTCTCGTTGATATCGTTCGCTCCAAACGAAACGAACATTGTCCACCCGGTCCACCCTCTTCGTAGTCCTTTGAAACCTCCAAGGAAGCAAGTTCTTCCACGTCCATGCAAGTGAGAACGCAGGGGACCCGTTCATGCTGAGCGTCTGCTCAGGTTTTGGAGGCTGCGAAACGAGCGTCTTGAGCTATCCCAAAACGTGATTGGAAGTGCTCAGCACAGCAGCTGAACATTGGAGTCATTCTAAAGATTCTAAAGGAATACATCTCTGAATCACCACCGGTCGTTCCAGCCATGGCCCGGAGAGCGCCTTGGCAGCTTGACGCGGACCTTGACTGACCTTCCCCTTCTTCGCCTGCTTTTCACCTCGAACGCTGCGCAGTCGGTGCACAGCACGTGAAAACGCTACAAAAGTGTGGAGTTGTAGAGGTCTCTGGTCGGTTCAAGGTCAAAAGGTCTCATCTTCGACGCAGGCTGCCCAGCGATGGAGTCTCTGCTAAGTCGGCAACTTGGCTGTCCTTACTTCGTAGGTCCTTTGCTAAGAAATCCCTTCTAAACCAGAAGGACTAAGGAGTACGCTTGAGGGCAGTCAAAGGGAATGAATTGCCAGGCCAGTAGTGCAAAGCTGGGAACTCACATAGTGAACCCCGATACGAGTTTTCAGTTCGTTTTCAGCTTTACCTTGATTTCAAAAACGAGCATATTGAAGGTGGTCAAGGGAACTACACTACCCTATATTTATACAAAAACACAGTCAAAAACACATAAAACCATATTGGCGACGTTTCCCAGCAAAGATGGGAACATCGATTTTCATCAGCTTGCAGGGTTCACACCAAACAATTACGCGGTGTTCATTGCCAGACTGAGGTTGTTCTCTTTTGGGGCACCCCTCGACTTGCGGCGTCCAGACCAAGTCGCTGTTGTGGTGCTTCGCCCCAGACTGCGGCGAGGCGGGGAACCCGACATGGATCGGAGAGGCTCGGGGGTTGGGGGGTTGGCCTGTTCAAGTCTACCTGTTCGGATCTCCAAAAGAGTCGACATGTCGACGCAGAGTCGACTGAGGTGAGAAAGCACCTCTAAAGGGCGGTAACGTTTCTTTGGATTTGCTCAAAAGACACACAAATTCCAAAGAAACATGTAGATTAAACCTAAACATAGACTCTTAGAGGACTATGGAAGGCAATGTTCAGATTTGTGGGTTGGCGGCCATCTTCCGTAGTTGGATGGCCATCTCGTGAAGCCACCTACAGTGTGTAGGGCGAGAAAATATCTATTGCCAAGCTGGATGCTTTCAACAACTCCAAACCGATGGATGTCCTGAAAAAGCGAGCGAGACAAGTTGAAACAACATGGGTGTGCATTGGAATAGGAGAGTCTCCAACCACTGGTTTTTTAGCTCATTCTTCCATGTGCTTGGCCTCTAACTGAAGGGTCCCCCTATTCCAAACACACTTTTTGCGCTTCATGCCTTGATGTGGGGCTCCTCTGCCAGTGGCTGCGCTATGCTCGATGGTCTGTTGGGAGTATTCCAAAAGCACCCCAAAACACATCACATGACTTCTGGGGCTCCTCCCGTTTGCCACCCGTCCGCAAAGCAGTGCTGCGGGGCCATTACGCGCGGTGCTACGGCACCGCTACGACGCCATGCCGCCTGTGGAGATGGAGGCCCCTCTCCTGAACCGGAGGACCCAGTCCTTCCAGTCCCACGGACCTGAAAGGGACTGACAGATTTGCATAACGAGAAAACAGTACACACACTTGGGGGGGGTCTGTATCTTTTTGGAGCGCTCCGTGTAAGGGAATCAGCGGTCCAATCCGCGAGTCCCATTGAGTGTTTGGGTATTGCTTGGCTGCTTGGTGTATGTTGATGTTGTTGATGTGCTAAAAGACGAACGAACGAGAACTTCTGCAGAAGCGTGCTGCTGCACTCCGCAGACTGGGCGCAAAGGTTTCTCAATCAAAGAGTCTAGATGAACTTTGACGAACCATCTGTTCACTCGTATACAGGTGACCTATACAAATACAGGTCACCTTCCATACAGATACAGGCGCAAAGGTTTCACTGTATACAGGTGACCCTTCCCTTCCATCCCTTCCATCCCTACATGTAGGTTCAGCATGGTGGGCACCCGTCCTCCACGCGAGGATGGCGCCGTTTGGACCTCGGTGCAGCGGTTGAGAGGACGGTGGTCCGACTACTGGCATCCTAAAGCCGTCCTGTCCACGGCAACCATGCAGGATTTAAGGATTTTCAGATTTTTCCAACGACGGCCTTTCAAGCAACAACGCCTGCTGTTTATGCCTGAGTTGAGTGCCACACACAGACACCCAAGCAGTTTACAAACCACGCCTTCCAACACCTCAAAAGCCTTGTTTCGCTTCCTGTCCTGCATCCAACCCCGATGCCACGACCGACATGTTCCGTCCACGCGTCGTCCACGCGTCGTCCACACGGAGGCGGACGCGTTCGTCGGGATCCGCTCCGAAGCAAGCACCGATTGGAAGTCCTTCAGATTGGAGGCCATAACATCTCATTTCCATCTCTTAGGAATTGAGACATGTACTTGTATATCCTGGCAAAGAAGCAGGAGTTTCATCTGCTGAACCTCTTTGGTAGTTTAGATGTTCTTGGCAAAGTGCGCGGGGGCCTCTATCACTCAGGAGGTTGGCGGCTTGCAGGGCTTCTTGGCCTTCGTCAGACCCCCAGGCTGCCCGGACCACCACGGCGGGAGAGGACTTCAGCGAGTTGCCTGGCTCAAGTGGCACCGCCACCATGCAGAGGGGGCCGCTGCGGATGGCGGACGGTGAGTGGTGTGGCATAGCAAAACGCCTTGGAGCAAACGCCGCAACTGAGTTGCTAGGGGTCTTCTGAGCTTTCTTTTTGCACTTAAAAACCACCGTCTTTGCCTACCCCAGAGAGACTCATGACTCATCAGTGATGAATGCTGACAATTCGGTCTTTCCAGAGCCCACGTTTCCACGTCCCCCAAAGGTTCGGTCTTTCCGCAGGTGATCAACGACGGATCTCCTTGTGAGGAGGCGTGGAGGTGCACAGTGTCCGACGGGTGTTCGCACGTTTGGCTCCCGCCTGGTAGTGGATGCACTTCCTGTCGCCGAAGGGAAGGTGAAAAGATGGCTGGTAGATCTGGTAGATCTGGTGGGGGGGGGGCAGGGTTCAATGGAAGTGATGAGGTGGGTTGATGAAACGTCTGGTGGAACTTCTGTGGATATAGGCTAGGGTTGGGCATGTCCCATTACCAGCAACAATGGATGATCGTGAGCAGTAAAGACATTTCCCCAAAACAAAGAGCATCTTTTACTGAGTCTTACTGGTAATGGGATAGGGCATTCCAGGAATGTACTGGGAAAACGAAGCGACGCAACCAACTCGTACAGTCGTCACAGAAGCAGTCCTGAAAGTAATTTCTCATTAGACCTTCAGACTTGTCCTATGTCTGAAATTTAGACTTGTCCTATTGAATCCTATTGATGAATCCTCTGATAGAACATGATAGAACATGCTTTGCTTCTCTACCTCGTTCCTATACAGCAAGCAATGAGGACCAGCCTCTATGCTATGCTCTCCCTGGTTGACGCTCTTGACGTGGAGCATCGACGCTATTGACGGGGGGGGTAGCCACGCGGTGAGTAGGGAGAACGCGGTCGGAGTATAACCCAGACACGCCCCATGGGACTGGCATATTGACCTATCAGGCCAGGGGTGGTGCCAGGGGGTCAATGTGGGCCATATATGGTGGTCCCATGGACTGTCAGGATGTGGCCTGTAATCAGGCTGTGCACTGGCCCCCTTAAAAAAGGGGTAGGTGTTCTGCTGCCGTACAGCAACCTGAGTGGTATCGCCAGCAGCAAGCTTGGCTTCAAGGCCACTAATTCGGGCTCTATCCCAATGAAAGCGTTGCCAGTTGTCGGTACAAAGTGCATTTCCACGTGGCCCAAGATCCAATGTAAGTAGATTCCACCACGGGCACCACAGCGCCCATGGCGGCGAGGTAGGGCACCCAGCATCGCAAAGCTGAAGACTAAAGTCCGCAAAGATCTTTCTTTGCTTTCCTTTCAAAGGGCCAACCGGTAGTCACTCAGTCTCTTCCTTCCTCTTCCTCCAGTGCCAACTGGTGCTTCAGGATGGGGTCGGACACAGCCGTGGCAATCCTGAAAGGTGGTCCATTTCTGCTGCAACTAACCTGCCTCCTTCGAATCAACGAACAAAAAGAGATGCCTTTTCCAGGTGCCCCCAAGCACAGAAACTCCCAAGAAAACCTGAGAATCCCCAACACTAATGCAAAGTCAGGATTAATCCCCCCTAGTTATATAATCCGAGCCCACAAAGCCACCGGGGTTTGCATTAATCTCCAAATCTCACCTGGTTCCTGGTCTTCTGAGTCGGAACGGCTTTGCCCACAGCTTCACCTTTGCGACTTAGGCCTCGATCCCACTGGGCCCCTGGCATTGCTTTGGCTTGGTCGCTCCTCGGGGCCTTGGCTGTCGACGAATTGCACGGTGCGAAGGACACCAATCGCGGCCATTTGCGCCGTTGGTACAGCAATTGAGACATGAATCATATAACTGAGACATTACAAACATCACCATGACTAACCCCTTGTCAATTGCACCATGCGGCAGCAGCCGCATTGATGCATAAACCAACTCCCCTGACACGGTCCTCCTTACACAAGTCCCTTTCGCCATCGTTCGCCCACCTACTCCACTGCCTCTGCCGGACATCGACGACCCAGGCAGCCCGTCTCCGTCGCTGGGTTCGGTTCGGCAACGCTTCCTGAGCGGAGAGGCCGGCGGTGAAGACCAACCAGAGTCTTCTCTCCAGCATATTGAAGCACAAACAGACCAATCAGACCAACAGAGTCTTGAAGCACAAACATCTTGAGACCAACCAGAAGCATATTGTGTCAATTGTGTCTTCAATATGCCTCAAACATGGTGAAGCCTTTTGAAGCACACAACGTTGATTCCACTCCAAACATATATGCACTCTAGTGTACTTTTTCATGAATGACTTGATGTCAACAATGTGAAATACTGTGAACTCCGCCTCCTGCACTCCATTCCCTTTGGCCTACCAACATAAAGGACACTTGTAATGGCTCTATCACTGCTGAGCTTTTCGGCTGTTTGCTCCATCCAAACCTCCTTGCGGCGTACCGCCTCGGGCTTGGCCTAGCGCAGCTGCTTTGGGCTGCGGGGCGGATTACGAGGGCCCGGGAGTGATGAAGCAAGAAGCAGCGAGGCCTTCATTTCCATCCCTCATGTTTGTTAAAACAGTGACCTCTGTTTAAACAGTGGGCACCCGCGAAGAGACACATCTACATTGGGGCGGAGCGCAAAAGTCACCTGGGCGAAGCATGAATGAAGCATCCTTCTCCCGAATGGACCAGCTGGTGCCACCGCGGCTGGTCCATTTGCCCTGTTGAGCGTATTTTCTCGGTTTCACCAAAAGCTCCTTTCACCGAATCATGCTTCCTCGCACCTAAGATCTGCACCAAATAATCCCTACAAAACAGCCACTTGCGGTTGACAAACCCCCAACTTGCCATTACCAGGGCCCGTTTGGAGGATGATGGTTAGTAAAGACCTTTCTCAAAAATAGCGATGATTTTTTCCAACTGTTACTTCCAAGAAATAGAATATAAAAATTGCTTTCTCTTGGTTCTAAGGAGGGGTTGCAGTAGTAGTTCACCTCAGAAACTATGGGGAAGAAATGGGAAGAATCAGCAAAAACGAAGTCGTCCGTCCGTTCACCACGTTCAACCCAAATACGTCCTGGTCCCGCCAGTCGCCTCCTGGGCCACCGTCGATCGCTTTCGACCTGCTGACAGCGAGCGCGACCCAAAAACGGCCAATGTGGATTACGCCAGTCCTCCACGACCACGAAGAAGAAGGATTTGTTCTATAATATTGGCTCTATATGATTTGGCCGAATATTTTTTTGACCTTTCTTGTTGTTCTTTCCTTTTCCGTTTCGTTTGCACCCCGATCACAGCAATGAGTCATGAGAAAGAGCGGGAGATCCCGCCATGCTTGACCATGCCCCAAAAGGAGTTCACCACTCACCTGGAACCGAAGGACCACTCCCCCTCCCACCATGAAGTGTGGGGCAGTGGCTGGCGTGTTATCCGGCTCCCCGGCTTGGCTCCCCGGCGGCCCAGTCGCCGCCGCACCCTGGGGAAGGAAGGTCTGGGGAAGAAAGGTCTGGAGGTTCTCATGATATCACCATATCAGCTCATCTCTGTGGAGGTCTCACCCATTTTGGGTGAGAAGGTTCGAAGAAAGAGAAGAGGAAGAACAGGAAACGGAACAAACCAACCAAACAATGACAGGACATTGTGAACATTGAGGAAGAATAGGTTTTGTTTTCTTCCACATCTTTAGGGCTTTAACTTCCCCCAATAGACCCGCACCTTTGTCCTGCTATGTTCTTCCTACCTGCATCCTCCCTTCGCCACCCATGGGACGTTCAACGTTCGCAAATCGGTCGCGCGTATTGAGGACACGAGTAAGTACTGAGCGGCCGCGCATGTAGACGATGAGGACCAAACAAAGACCTCATGCTGATGGCTGGCCATCCATGGCAGGGAAGCAGAAGTATGCCCGGTGCCTGTTCTCATTTGAGCCCTGAACTGGTGTGAGTCGTCAAGCCTTCTCAAAGAAATCATCGCAACTATTCCTCCGTGTCATGTGACTGCTTCAAACATCTTGAACATCTTCAATGCTAGACACTTAGCACTCAAAAGAACTAGGGAAGCCAGAAAAAGGTGCGACCGAGATATGGATGTGGATTGAAAGAAAACGTCCACTTGGGTCACGATTTGAGGCGGTGTGGAATGGAAACCGATTCCACCTACGGTGCTTAGATCTGATCAGGGGGACCTGGAGGCTCCTCCTTACACAGATCCCTCCAACTTCGGGTCTTCAAATAGGTTACCTCCCTCCAGATCCATCTTAGGTCCACCTTAGCTCCCTGAGTTTCCAAAAGACTTCCCAAACCTCTTTTTCTGAAACCTCCCGTTCTCCACTCCCAAGGGCTCCACACGCCCCCGCCCATCTTTCCCTCCCACCCTCCCACCCCCGCGGAGGCTCTTGGCCGAGACGCCGCCGCAGGCCACGGCCACGATCACCGCGGCCACTAACTCGGTGCTGAGCCCCGGCGCAGCGAGGCCTACGGAGGTGGGCAAACGGACGCGTCAACGCCACGTCTGACGCGGCCAGGTGGTGAAAACCGACCCTTTTGACCGGGCGGGCAACCGGTTCATCCAAGCACGGAGCAGTTCATCTCCGGTCATTCGATTGCCGGATTTCACCCACCTGGAGTTTGGGATGCCAAGAATTCTTAAGAAGTACTGGATGGCGGAAGAATATCCACTACCAAGGGCAAGGGGGCTCACCGTTTCCGTTGCAATGAAGCAGTTGTAGTTCTAGTGGACACCAAATCTGATAGAACCCTAATCGCACATTCCATACCATGATTGGGAAGTCGCCAATTCTTGGAGACAATCTTGAAACATGTCGTTCTTTCTGCTAGCGCCCTCCAAAAAGTCAAACTTCGAGTGTAGTTAGGGTAGTTCTGCCTCCAGTTTAGGACTCCAGAACACCACACAACTAGGCAAAACGACCGTGCTGTAAAAAGGAACCTCAAACGTAGGAATTCTCAGTGCACTCTTTCAACCCACCGATGCCCTTTTTTCAAATCCGCCCCCGATGCCATCCGCTGACGATGCCCCCGGCCGATGCCGTCACGCCCCCGTGCGTTGTCTTCGCCTTCTTCCACATCCTGCCGCCCAGCCGCCAGCTCGTCGGCCTCGCTCCACCTCAAGGCGGTGAGTCTAGGGGCTGTCGCATGGTCTACAAGACTTCGATCAGGTTGGGGTGCGTTTAGATTTCCCATTCCAAACATATCCATTGAAGAGTGAGTGAACATTCAAATCGATTAATTTGTATAGATATGTATACCTGGACCCTCCTGTCGGGGTGTCCTGGCCGGACTACCCTACACTACCTATATAGGCTTCCAATGGGCACCCTTTGGAGGGTCCTGGTAGATAGTTGTAGTATGTTTTCGATAGAAACGAGGCACTGCCCTTTTCGCCCTCCGTGGCTTCCTCCGCTGTCAGCGACTGAAGCTCGGCGCCCGAACGCCGCACTGCTCTTGAAGCCGCCGGCTCCTGCCGACCAACGAGGGTGGAGAAGTGCTTTAGATCAAGTCCCGCCTGAGGGTAGTTGTGGAGAGGAGAGGGGTCTTGCTGTTTCGAAGCGTTTTTACTATTTCTTTAATTTTTTCCCACGGGCAAAGAGCTGTTGGGAAAGAGTCTCTCTCTTTCGTTTTCACATTAGGAAGATCTTCACTTGTTCTCGCTCAAATCCATGTCACCCAGGCGTGTGTCGTAGAACAGTCAAACCCCAAGTTCGATCTGTGGACACATCGCAGGTTCCGTTCGATCAGAGTCGCAGGTTCCTCTCCAGATTGCCTCCCAACTCGAGAGTCCCGCGTGGAGTACATGATACATTTCTTTCTGAATTTGCAGTGCTTTTTTTTCCATTCGTCATTCCATCCGCCAGTCGGCGGTCCTGCGCCATCTTCGGAGGCTTCCTCTGCCTTGGTTGCACCAGGCACGACCAGCGGCGAATGCATCTCCCCAAACCCAAATCATCGGATTGGCCTGACTCAACATGGCCTTTCTCTGGGTAATGATGTCTGGGTCGTCCGCTCACCCACCATTGCTGTGGCGAAAAACCGTGACGAATGGTTTTGGAGGCTTTTGGTTCACAGCACCAGGGCTTGGGCAAACAGCTCCCTCACTTGAAGAACCCTTTCCACCCGACAGCCCTCGGTTTCGTCCCAACACTCCACCAGGTCGGAAGCCTAGAGCGCTTTGCAAACGAAATAACGGGCCCCACCAACCAGTCGGTCCACGGGTCCGCCCCTGCTTCACCGGCGGACTCCTACCGATCCAAACACCCCATTCCGTCGGGTGACTGCTACCAGTGCTTCACCAGCAGTGATGCTCTGAACCGCCTCACACGGGCGCGGCCGGTGCCGGTGCGGCAGGTTCTCCTGTTATGTTGGACATGGAAAGACCGGACTCCGTTGGATGCTAGAAGGACCTTTGGCTGATCATCTGTTGCCGACTTCACTCGATATCGAATAGCATCTCCCAATTGTTCACAAGAGTACTTGAGTACTGGCTTGGTTGCATGGATGATCCAACCATTTCCACGAGAAGGCCCGGCCCGGCCGATAAACGCATATGGGCCTGTCTTGTCGCTCTTTGGACAGGCCAGAGACGATGCCGAAAGGGGTCCGGGAGGCCACGGGACGATCGGTCAGACCCACCGGGGGTGGGTATGACCGACGTGTCGACTTCCAAGGCCAGCTGCTGAGGGTGGCAAGGGTGAACTGTTGCAGAAGGCGGTCTTTCTGTCTGTCTTTCTTTCGCACGCATGGTGTCAGAAGACTCAGCGCCTTGCCGAGATGAATTCTTAATTAGTGACAGATTAAAGTCAGGGCCAGGAGGACTAAAAATAGGCAGGAGGTCACAACCGCTTAGGTCAGGGACTAGTTCTCACAACCTCGTTTGATAGCACTTGCTAGTCTGGGAACCTCTAGCTCCGGAGTTCATCTCCTCATTCCCTGCCGAGTTGCACCAGTCTGTTGTTTAAGACGTCTGCTGGTGATATCTGACTTCTTTGGCGCTTCAGTGGTTCAAATTCATTTGGATTTGCTGTCCAGCGAGCAACAAGAACACACTCAATTCAGCCACTCACTAAGAAAGAAAAAGCACATCAAAACCAAGCAACATCGGCTGAAATTGAGTTCCTAACTAAACCGGTGTGCGCACATTCAGCCACCTGTGTTTCCGAGCATCCAAAACCGAAACACTGGGAGCTCCCTGAGCCAAACCGGGCTCGGAACAGCAAACCTCCACGTCGTTCCTGCGCTTGGCGTAGTCCAAAGGCCTCGGTACGCGCGGAAGAACCGGAGGGGGGAAGCGTTTTGGGCGTTCGGCTTTGCCCCGCTTGAAGTCTGGGTGGATTTTCAAGATCTTTTCTCCAAACTTTGACTTCAACTCCCAAAGATCCCACCTCTCTTAAAAAGAGGGGCCGGTCTCTTCCTCGTGGGCTCGTAGGGGAACCAGCCTTTTCATGCACCACCGGAAAAAAGGTCCATGGCAAACCGAAAGGGGCCACTCTGACGAACACATCACATGGTTACGTGGACGTCCCGGCCCGGAAGACTAGTTTCCTTTAACGAACACGGGGTTCTCCACTTCCATGTGATGTGTTTGTCATAGTGTTACCTGGCGTCGTCACGAAACGGTGGCCTTCTGTGGTGTTCACTTCTGTACTCCCTGGGCCTCCCTGCGTCAAACCCTCAGCATCCTGGCGGTGTCAAACAGCTGAAGAGGAGGCGAAAACGAAAACGGAACGGTTTCATCGCTCCACACAGCCCGACTGGGTCCCGAACCAAACCCTATGGTCCAGACCCGAGGATTCGGGTCCGACCCCTGCATATGAGGGTCCAGGAGCATCTAGGTGAATGTTTTCGATTGCGACGATCCTGTTGAAGAAATCCAAGCACCACCTATAGAAGCCCCCAAAAATGGAAATTGGTAGGCTGTCATCATTAGGCCGTGCTCGATTTCTTGCAAGAATCGTCTCTTTTCGTTCCTTATCTTAACATCCTCTCTATATTTGGAAGACCAAAAACACTGAACGGGGACCGACTCCGTTTTAGCTGCTGCCTTTTGGCTCTAGTCACCCACTCTCCGGGCATTCGTCACCCAACGTGTGGAGGGCTGCGGGTCACACGTCCAACCGTCGGGGCCGTCCAAGCCGGTGCCACCGTCGAACGAGCTCGTTCGACAGCTCTCTCGGGAGGGGTGCCGGGAGAAACGAAGAAACCACACCAAGAAGCCTTGAAGCCACGTCTTGGCACTTAAGACACGACCAACCTGTCTGGGACTGCCATATAAGAACTGCCGAGAAACGGCCACAGGTGGTTGACGGGGGGTCTGTCTGGGGCGGCCTGGCCGTCGCCGTCGGCCTCGCAACACTTGAGCCAGGTGGAGGCCTCCACCAGGACTCAGCGCCGTCCAGCCCCCGTTTTCCCTTTCCTTTTCTGACTGGTGCGACTCGCGTGGATCCAATAGAATTTGCCATTGGGGGCGAAACTTCCCTGATTCCCTACGAGTCGCACCAGTCAGTTTTCTGACCGTTTCATCTGATCTCCGAGATAGACGAAGTCCAGACCCCGTGCTTCCCCCAAAAACGGATGGACCTGGACCTGTCTGGTTACCTGTTTTGGAGTACACCCAGGAATCGGACCGGAGAAAGAAGGTTTTTGAGTCCAAGGAGAATCGGTCTGCCCCTTTTTTCCACCACCGGCCTTCAGTCGGTAAAAATGACGTCATGCTTTCAGTTCACCAAACGTACTGAAACAGTTCCACATTTCCAGTTGCCTTCAAGTCAGTTGCAGCCCCCTTGGCGACCAACAGCCGCACACCTCAGGCGAAGCATCGCGCCCAGACCGGCGAGGTCGCTCAGGGCGAAAGGTTTTCACTGTGGAGGTCGATCTTCCCAGGGAGTCGGTCGAAGATGATCCAACGACCGTTTTCGGCCGGAAACCGCCCATCGCATGCCCCCCTCGTATTGCATGAAGCACATACTGTACTTACTTTTTTTGCTTCATTTTTCGTAAGGTAGACTCTTGAGGTACATACACCACCCCCAATTGAATTGAACATCCTCTTCAAAGGGGAGGTTATTAATCAAGAGTCTACATGATCTATGCAGCCAGCTTCCCACCACTCCAGCCTGGCACAGCCTGGCGCCCAGGCTGTTGCTGGCACCGAGGATCACCGCCAAGTGCAAGGCACTTTGGTTCTGCCTGCGTCGCGGCGTCCGGCGCGTACAGTGGGAAATACGAAGCACATCGGATCCATGCTATCCACTTCTGCGCAAAAGCTCTAGGACTTTGGCCTTCCAAGAGGTATGTCATTCTTTCCCTGGTTTTCCATGTCCTTGATTTGGAAGCTGCAGTGCACAAGCTCCCAATCAATCTTCTTGAGAGAAATCAATGTCAATGCCCATCGCCTACGAACATTGCCCATTCATCTCCACGCTGCGCTCCGCTCTGGTAGTCTATCACCGTCGTTCTCCACATGGCCTCCACAGTCGTAACCGCCATCCCTTGACGTTCCATGTCCGACCTGCCTGTTGCTCCGTGAGAGCAATCGACCGCTGGTGTCTGCAGCTAGCCTGGCCAGCTGAGGACCGTGGGTCGTGGGTCGTCTTGCAGAAAACAACACATGGCCGTGGGTCGTTCTGCACCCCTTCCAGAAACTGGCCGAAGCCTTGCAGTCAAACCAAAGGGCAACAATGTTGCTAGCGGGGGTGAATCAAGTGTCTTGCTACATCATCAAACACCATGGCTCACTGCCGTTCTTACGTCCACATGCCAGTGCTCTTGCCAGTGCTCTTAACAACATTCCAGGCTGCTCATCAGTGCTGCTCATCATCCCCGTTCACAACTGAGCGCCCCAAAAAACCGGAGGAGAAATTGTCCCTTTTCGGGTCAGTGGCAGTAAGGTCCTAGTAGCTTCTTGTTTCAGTTCTAATTAAACTTAAAGTCAATTCGAATTCTTGTTTCTATTAGCTTCTTGTTACTAGTAGTAAGGCCAGGAGCCCCGATCGTAGCCGAAGCTTGTTCCGTTCGTAGCATCCTCTACCCCCCCTCCAGAGAGAAGCGTGCCAGAATCACATCACATTCACCACCTCTGTGCTATCTTCGCCTCGGCGGGTCGTGACTTTGTCGACCGGTTTCGTGACACCGCGTCACGAGTCATCCTCGCAACGCGTGGATCCATCCGAGGAGGAAAACCCGTACCCAAAGGAAGCTGCGGCGGCCCATCCCCTTCAGAAGACCAACTATCTTCATAGATGCAAATACCAAAAATATCAAAAGAACATCTACCAGTCTGCCAGTCAAAAAAGAAAGATCAAACACTATAAGGCAATTTTGCTGTTTGCTGTAAGCACGCCAAGCTAAGGACATCTCATTTCACAGGTTCCCTCTTCACCAGTTTCCCTCTTTCACTCCCGTTCGCTTCTTTTCGCAGAAACGCGATCGTCGGTGTCTCGTGCCTGATCTGTCTGCAGACTTCGAGGTTCTTAACATATGTTGGCTGGCATGGGTGAAAGATGGTGAAAGGCAACCGGTAAATCACTACTTTGTGGCTTTCTCCTTCTCCTGCTTCTTCTTCCAGGACACTTGATTCAAGAAAATATCGCCAAAGAAAACCCGAAAACTATGGGAAGTACACCAGAACCTTGATGTGGGATGGGGCAATCCAGTTGCTGACACAAATAGCTCGAATCCACTCTCTTTTTGACTTCTCATTGGCTTCGCCGCCTTCACCCGCTCCTTCTCCTGCTTTTTCCTCCAAACCACGGCCTTCTTGTGAGACGCTTCGAGCTCGGCCTCGCTGTGGTCCTTTGGCTTTGCGCGGAAACTTCGGCACCGCGCATGCCACTTCTGACTCCTCCGCTCCCAGGTCACCCCGGGGTAGGGCACCTTCGCCCCGAAGATCGGCAGCTCCGAGAAGCGACCCACGGCCGTCACCTTGCGCTCCAAGCCGTGGAGCTTCGCGAGCTCCAAGGCCTTGGACTCGGCGGCGGCCTTCTCGGTGAAGAAGCCGCCATGAATCCTCTTGTTTGGTCCCTTCGTGGCCTTGTTGGGGGTGAGCAGCACTTGCCACTTTTTGCTCGCTTTGTCCCAGCACACCCCTGGCACCTCGCTGGTGAAGTTGGGGTCCACGGGCTTCGGCTCCTCGAGGACGCCCTGTTTCACCAGCTCGGCTCGGAAGGCCTTGGCTGCCTCGAGCGCCGCCACGTCGGCTTCGGTCTCGGTGAGCCTTCTTCATGAACTTGCTCAGGGAGAACTGCCGAACTGTTCGGCCGCCCTTCTTGTCAAAGAGGGGGAAATTGACTTCCCATGCCCAGCAAGTTGGGTGCCACAACACACCTGGAACCCCACTCTGCTTCCCCGAGTTGTGTCTCTGGAAGCAAGTTGGTTTCTCTGATGTTTCAGGAATTTCTGTAGAGCTTCCAGCTGTGGCTGCAGCTGCGGCTTCTGGCCGACTGAGTCCCAAACTTCGACACCTTCCATGGCATCGAAGGCCCAACCATGACCAGCCCACAAACATGTTGGGAGGTCCCTCATCCACGGCCACATCTTCATCAGGTCCAAGCCACGGACCTTTATGTCCCGGCTTCGACTTGAAGAGGCAATCATTCCCTGCTCTTCAAAGTTCCAACTTCAAAAGATTTGAGTCTCAAATGCGGAGCAAAACCATATGGTTGTTCAGGGTTCAACCCATTAAATCAATAGCGGGACACAAATCCAATTGAACATTTGTTGGAATGCAACTGCCCGCTTGAATCCTCCAGTCCTTTTCTGCCAGCAGCAGCTCTTCAGGTGACAGTGCCCGGTCTCTTTTGGGTGAAGCAAGACGCATCGGGGACTCCACTGCCACCTGCCAGTCGAAAGGTTGACGGGAAGTTTTAACGCCCACTACCAATATGAACAGAGCAATCTCATTATATACAAGCTGCATTACAAGCTGCAATCTCATTTGACCTGCATCCAAAACAATGAGATTTACCAGGTCAAACCAAGCCAAGCCCAGCCATTAATGCCTTCTCAGGAAGAAGGCGCAAGCACCCCCGTGGGCTGTACTGAGCACGAGCAATGTGATGCACAGGTTGAAAGGAACCCACTTCGCAGCAGGTTTCACAACAAATGACGCCAAAACACCCTCTGCAGCTTAAAGCAAAACCACATCTTCAACCAAAACCAAGTCTTGTCACCATGAGGAAGGACACAGAAGGGCTATGATAAAACACGGTCAATGTGATCGATTTCATGGATAGCTGGCTTTGGAGCTGAAGATTGCAGTCAACTTGTACTGTGAACTTGGGTCTCGTTGGTCATTCAGAAGTAAGAACTAGGTGGCACACCTCGGGCTTGTCCGATTGGAACGCATAGTCACATAGTCATTGTGGGAAAATGCCATGTTGAATCATGTTAGTTAATTAACATGCATGTCACTCTATGTCTTTGTTGCTGTCAGATCTGTCGTTGTTCAAGAACATGCAACACTCCTGATCGTGTGCCTCCTCCGGGAGCAGCGCTTGGGGATCATGCTTGTGGTGGAATTGCCGAAGGCACCGTAAACGGTAGGCAAACAACCGCTGCACGCATGCTGGAGCATCTTCTTGGGGAGCTGTTGGCCCGCCATCCACCGGGCCGACGAAGAAGTTGACAGGACAACATGGCCTGTGACTGATTGAACTACAAAAGCAAAAAACGTCTGCCACCCACATCACATGCAGAAATCGGAGCCTCATGTGGAGGGTTTGGGGTTTCTCACCAATCCCGGTCAGTTTTGAGGGATGGGACAGGTCTGTTTTCATGGAACATCTGGGCAATACACCAGTGCCTCGAAGGCTGCATGACCAATAGAACCAAATATTGCTAATTATATCCCTAAAGGTCCGGTCTGCCGCCGCTTCCTTGGTCTTGATCTCCAACACTTGGTAGGACCCTTAGCCTCTGAACATCAAAGAGGAATACTGTCAAGGAAGCCACGACACTCATGCATACAAAAGGACAAACACACATTTTCTGCGGTACGTTCCTCCGCACTGGTCACCGATGCGTTAGTGACAGCGCCTGGTCGGCGTCCACGTCTTGGTCTTTCGAAATGCGATGCACTGCTGTGCCCTTTCGAAGCTGCTGCCGCAAAAGCATCCGAGGCAGCACGAGCTGCGTCCTGCAGTATCAGTATGCGTTCAGTATGAGGATTCGCATCTAATAGTTGAAAAGGCACCTACTTTAGCTACACTATTCTTTACACCTACTTTGTTGTCACTGTGGGTCTTGGGAATGCTGGTGACCTAGGATGTATCTTTGTTTGCATTTCTTGGCTTCTTCGACAGGGCCCCCGACAACCGGTTTCCATGGTATAGATTCAATAGAAGGGGCATCATCCGGAAAAAAACAACGTGTAAAGATCAGTCAATACTATTCGAATCTATTCGATAATGGTCCCTAGAACGGGACCCACGAATAGAAACCAGTCCTGAGCAAAACCTGGGATTTGGGTTGTTCCCTCTTTCGCAAATTTGCTGCGCTCCCGCCTCCTCCGGAGGAAGGGTGGCACGCCTGCATCCACTAGGCCATTGGCCGTTGAATCCCCCGGGAGCCCAACTCCTCTGGACTTCTCGCTTTTTTCTTGTTACTACTAGTAAGGCACTTGTTCCTAATAGCTTCTTGTTACTACTAGTAAGGCACCTGTTACTACTAGCGTGGCACTTGTTACTAGTAGCTTATTGTTTCTAATAAGCTTCTTGTTACTACTAGTAAGGCACTTGTTACTAGAAGCGATGCACTTGTTCCTAATAGCGAACCTTGTTACTACCCCAACTCCTCTTTAATCTCGCTTTTGACTTGCAGCCACCAACCATCAGGCTTGTCCTGAGGAGGGAGCTTCACGGTCATGACTTTTCTTCCTCTTGATCTTGGTCTCCTTGCGTGCCAAGTGGCGCTTCTTGTTTGGTGGAATTGAAGTGATTGCTGGATCACTGCCTGTGTCGACCTTCTCTTCAACCTCCAATTCGACTTCCTGCTTGATCTCATGTCCAGCAATGGTAGTGCCAACGCCCAAGCAACCAATCTGGTCCTGCTGCATCTCATCCTTAATCTCCTTCTTCACTTGAAGCCACAGGGCATGGGCATCTTGGTCATCACTCTCCTCTTGCTTGACTTGAACATCATCAGGTTTTCCCTCCTCGATAGAAGCCTGAACGAGAGTCCTTCTGGCACATGTGGCTGCTGGTTTCCCTTGCATGTTCCTTCGTGTCAGGCGCTGACGCTTGGTTGTGGGAGTGGTGGCAGGCTCGACTGAAGTCCTCTTGACCCAAGTCCATCCAAGTCCCACTTCTCTTCAACCTCCTCTTTAGCCTGGATCTCGTGTGGGTGGCGACACCTGTCAGCACACCGAAACCTGATCTGAGGTTCGATTGCTTCACCCGCTGAGAACGGATGAAACAGAATTCCACGACTGTCGGCCGAAGACTCTTAACTGCTTGGGCCAAAGATATACTCACAACACAGGAACCGGTCTGAGACTTCCAGAAACCAAACAGGACCTCCACATTCCGTCAACCTCCACATTCCCTCGCAGGTGGTTGGTGAAAGGGGAATGTATCAGGTTTGTTTCAAGGGTCAGTGCTTGGATTTTAGTCATGACCAACACCACACAAACCAGACTTTGAGGTGGCGATCCTCCAGAACGACGTCCTACACCATCGCCGCATCGCTCAACCTCCTCCGGGTCTTGAGAAACTTCCACTTCACAAGAAATCAACGACTAGACTCTGTAACCGTACCCGAGACACCCCGCAAAGAATACGCCCACCCGTCACTGTCACTGGTTTTGCTCTCACTCGGCCTCCTTTCCCCTCCAAAAAGGAAGGCATCATCGCCCACATTGGGCAATCGGCTCCCAACTTCTTCCACCTCCCAGACCGCTCACCCCGTTCCTCCCTTCTTTTGGCGTCCGCAGCGCAACGCAACGCGAGATCGACCGACTCAACCTTTGGAGCTCCGTCCGTCCTGGCAGCGGCCAATCGGAACGGGGTGCCTCTTTAACGCGGTCCATGTAAGCCTGGTGGTGAGATGATCAGTCACTTCAACAACATGTTGAAACATGTAGTGTGTTTTTTTTTAAAGCTTTTTTGTTCCCCACATCTCTGTGTGGGGTTCTAGTTTTGTTGGCTGCCATCCCGCCCGCATCCGCCCTTCCTTCCTTCCCTCCGTCCTCCTCGCCCCCTCCTCCACTCGCTCGCTCGCTCGCTCACTCACTCACTCACTCACTCACTGACTCACTCACTCACTCACTCACTCACTCCATCACTGACTCCGGCTCTCTCCGCAGTGTCCGGCGCAGTGTTCAGAGACTGCAGAAGGGCCTCCGGCGCGCGTGGTCGCCGCTGGGCCCCCTGCGGTTCTGTGCGTTACTGCCATTGTGATTTGCAAAGCAATGGCTGTGACAGGCTGCGAATCGCATTGTAATGGCTGTGTCCAGAGACTGCAGAAGGGGCTGCGGCGCAGTGTCCAGAGACTGCAGCAGGGGCTGCGGCGCAGTGTCCAGAGACTGCAGAAGGGCCTGCGGCGCGCGTGGTCGCCGCTGGGGGCCCGGCTCTCTCCGCAGTGTCCGGCGCAGTGTTCAGAGACTGCAGAAGGGCCTCCGGCGCGCGTGGTCGCCGCTGGGCCTCCGGCGCGCGTGGTCGCCGCTGGGCCCCCTGCGGTTCTGTGCGTTACTGCCATTGTGATTTGCAAAGCAATGGCTGTGACAGGCTGCGAATCGCATTGTAATGGCTGCGGCCAGGATGTGCGCACACTGTGTCTGTGCACTACTGCCATTGTGATTTCCATAGTATTTCCATAGTATTGGTTCTTGCCGGTTCGGAGTCGCATTGTAAATTCTGCGAGAAGGATGAGAGACTGCAGAAGGGGCTGCGGCGCAGTGTCCAGAGACTGCAGAAGGGCCTGCGGCGCGCGTGGTCCCCGCTGGGGGCCCGGCTCTCTCCGCAGTGTCCGGCGCAGTGTTCAGAGACTGCAGAAGGGCCTCCGGCGCGCGTGGTCGCCGCTGGGCCCCCTGCGGTTCTGTGCGTTACTGCCATTGTGATTTGCAAAGCAATGGCTGTGACAGGCTGCGAATCGCATTGTAATGGCTGCGGCCAGGATGTGCGCACACTGTGTCTGTGCACTACTGCCATTGTGATTTCCATAGTATTGGTTCTTGCCGGTTCGGAGTCGCATTGTAAATTCTGCGAGAAGGATGTTTGCGAAGTGTGTCTGTGCACTGGTGCCATTGTGATTTGCAGGACCAGTGTTTGCGCGGCATGAATCGCCTTGTACATGCTGCATAGAAGTCTCTGCGCTGCTGCCATTGTGATTTGCAAAGAAAGGGGTCTCACTGCATGCGAATCGCATTGTAATGGCTGTGGCAAAGATGCTTGCAAACTGTCTCTGCGCGGTACTGCCATTGTGTATGGCAACGGAGAGAAGGCATTCGCAGCCGATTGTATATTTGCCTTTTC